TCTTGCTTGAACTACTACAAAAACTTATTTATTTCATCAGAACAGACAGGTGCCACCTCTGGACACTCTGTTACAACATCATGTTTCTGCAGGACAAATTGCATCTGGGTTAATTGCAAATCACTGATCAAAACTCACCTCTTCAAACAATCTTTTGATGTATGATTGTGATATGTGTTCTGTTTATCTGTAGCTGTACCTTTATGTTGTTGTCTTTATGATTTGTGTGGAATGCTGCAATGTCTGTTAGTCTTTCCTTACTGTGCTGTTTCTTTTGTTTTTTATCAAATGTTTAGTGTGTAAGAGTTTTTGAAAAGCGCTTATGAATAAAATGTATTATTATTATTATTATTATTATTAGATATAAGAGAGACATTGGCCGATATGGAGCTCAGCGTAAGGGAAGGAAGACTGCTTATATTCTTTCACAAATTCATTCATTCTTTCACTTCAACTTAAACTACTTCCTCTGTCTACCTGCTCTGGTGATCAGCTGTTAATGGGTGTTTATTCTTTAAGTGATTAACCAACCAGAGTCGGGCACAACCTCTCTCAACCAATCATCCTGCTGCGACAAAATGCTAAAATAGTTCTTTCTCTTCACAGTCATTCTGTCATTTCAAGGCAACTGCTGCAACCCACCACCGCCCCAGTCACCTCCATTCCAGCTCAGCAGAGTCCAGATTCAGGCTCATTATAGCCTCCATTCCTCTTCACCACCACCAGTGTCTAGACTCCATAGGGGGTATCCTATCCTGCTGTCGGCCTCATTACCCTTCCGAGTACATGAAGTCGTCACGATGGAGTCTAATCCTCCAAAGACTTTGCACATTCAAATCTAAATTGTCGCACATTTATTGTTAAATAAATAATTGTTCATTCTCAATTAAGTCTCTCCTGATTGAAATATCAGTCTCAGCTTTTTTTTCCTACCTAATATCAATATCACTACCCAACACTGGCTGTTACACACTGATGTCACTGCATTCACTTTATCTTATCATTTCTGTGTCCAGAGGCTGTCCGTAATGTGTGAAAAAAAATGAATGTCCTGTTAGTGCTGTCATTTTATATGATGCAACCCGAATACTGGATGTTGTCCTGTTTGTTGGGGTAATGTTGAATGTAAGTTGTAAGATATTGAGACACAGTCCCACGGTGATACTGATAAACTCAACTAAATAATTCATGGCAGGATTAGGAGAAGGCCGTTATTTTGTTTCCTCGAGGAACAGGAACACCTCTAATAGCATTCATCAACAATGTCCTCCTGTCTGGGTTTTCTCAGATTAAATTGAGTAGAAGTAAAAACCTGAGCTTGTTGATTTGTAAACGTGACTGAACAAGGACTATCTTTCAATGATAAAATCAAGCTGGTTAAAACATGTTGATGGAAACTGAGACCACGAACTTCCCCAGCAGTATTAGGACGCCTTTCTCAACCGCCAGAAGAGCGGAAACTATAAATTCAGAGATAAACATGTATCTGTTACCACTCTGTTGCATCATCACCTCTTCTTTCAACTACAGCCTGTTAGCGTTTGTTAACCCAGGAGACCTGCTGTCACTTTGAACGTGAAATGTTTTAACATTCTTGTGTGATTTAGGATATCAGCTCGTCAACACTTTTCTTCAATTTCAAAACATTGGACAGAGCTTTCTTCCCCGCCCCCTCCCTCCTAGAGCCAATGTGCAAACAGGTTGCTATGTCGTGGACACTGAAGCTTCAGTTTTTAACCAGCTCTGCATCGGTCTAGAGACTTTTCTGCTCTCTAACCTCTCTCCTTTTTTCAGAAGCAACCGCCTACCTTCTCTGCTCAAAATACAATGATTCTGCGCCACAATGGAAAACTAGAAGGAGGACATACCGACTGCTACATTTACAGATAAACCAGCACTTAAACAGATCATGTTTCCTTAATGTCTGATGATAGAAAGACCATTTCAAGATTTAATTCAGAAGATATCTTACATATTGGACCTTTAAACTGTCCTCCTTAACCTCGTCTTTGATTCAGGGCCATTTAAACCCTGTCCTCTGGAACTGCCTCACAGGCTTTCTTTAATCTGATTGGAAAACAAGAGCATGCAATGAATGAATCAAAACTTTATTACAGACTCAGGGTCCAAATAATAAAATCCAAAAGACATAAAATACAATACAAGATACATGAAATACAAAGCACAGTATAAAAACCTGCAACTTAAATGCAATGCATGGTATAAAATCACTAAATAGATAAAAACAGCGCCCCAGAGGATACAACTGTACCAATGTTTCCATATCTTGGATTGATTCAATGTGCATCTCTTTTGATAAACCATTTACTTTTTCAATAAAAAATAAAAATCTTGATTAGCAGAGCTTCAATACAAACAAAAGTGAAAACCATCACCTCAAACTTATCCACAATTAATGATCAATATCTCTCCAGATTTGAACATCAGAGGCTTCATGGAGAAAATATTATGTGAAATTACTGAGAATGAATCATGTATTGCGCCAAACACCCTGCAGAATATTGAAATATCACATTCATATCTCAAAGTCGATATTTAAAGCAATGCAGGAAGAGCAGAGCGAGAGAGGGAGACAGAGAGAGAGTCTTCAAATAATCAGGTATGACGTTTGGCAATGACATCATAGTCTGGAGATCTGTTAGTGTGATCCAGATTCATGTAAGTGCTGTCCTCTTCTTTTGGCTTCATGCTCGCTCTTTGTTTCCTTTAGTAAAAGAAGAAATGAGGATTAAAAAAGGGTTTTACAAACAACTCATTTGTCATATCTTCATCAGCACAGTTTATTCAAAAAGTCTCCGGTGTAATAACATACCAAAGAAACACCATGCAGAGTGTGAGGACGATGTTCACAGTGAGAGACACTCCAGTAACAGCCCAGAAGAGAACTCCACCGTAGGGTCCACAGTTATCCTCAAGACCTGTCATAAGAAATAACATGATAATATCATAACCCTGTTTGGGGGGGGGACACTTTTTCAACTTGATGGTTTTTACCACTAAAGTCTACTTCATTGTCAGTTTGACAGTGAAGGAAGTACCAAAGCTGTATCATATTTCCAAATCAAGACCGCAAAGCGAGCAAGAGAGACGAGTGTAGGCTGAGCAACCAAAAGACTAAAAGAAGAGGAGTGGTTTCAGCAGGAACAACGCTGAGCCAAAGAAATTCAATATTCATTTTTGATTGTTTCATGGTGGTTATGTTCAAAAGCACAATTTAAACACACTAAACCCACTGGCACATGAAGGAGTTGATTATGAAAGGGAAACTGAATGATTGATTGGCCCAAATTGGCACACATGGACATTTGGATGAAAAAGACAAATTAGTAATGTTTTATATACTAATTCAGAAAGTGCCAAAGATGGAAATCAATCTTGAAAACTGAAACATTAACAACATCTTATAATCAGTAAATCACTGCTCTGGAGGAATTATAGACCTTTAAAGGTTTAAAAACACACAGTTTAACTTGTATACATACGCTGAACATATAAGTCTTTGTTGTCAGATCGTCCACTCCCCAGTTCATTTTCAGCCTTGCAGAAAAAAGGACCCTTGACATCTGAAGCTTTGACAGTTAAAACACGTCCAGTCCCCATGAAAGTCTCCTGGCCTCCATCAGCTCTGTACCAGGTGTAGTCCTTTACAGCTGGGTTGGTACTGCTACTACAGGTCAGAGTCACAATGTTGTCTTGTCGTATTGGACCGGACAGACTGACCGACACTGTGGTTTTTTTGGGTGAATCTGGGAGGAAAAAAATAAACAGACTTGTTCTTTTGATAATTGAATTGTAAACTGTCACTTTCTTGCTGATTTGGAAGAAAAATCATGAAGAAAATTACTGACTCTGCTTCAGCAACATTTGAAGCCTTTGCTTTTCAGCATGTTTGCACTTACAAGAAAGGTTGCCATTAGTTTCATGTTTTCTGTACATTAAAGGGAATTATGTTAATCCTAAAATGCATCTTAATCAGAATTAGATATATGGCATGCAGATATAGATGTTCCCTTTTGTCTTTTCTTCTCAGTCTCTGCTTTAGCTTGATTTCAAAGCAGCTTGAAGTTTATGCAATTAACAAGAATTGTGCCTGCAAAGGATATTTTGGATGAGGAAACACTTCAGAGAAATGAAGCAGAGCAAGTTAAAGGCTTGCTGTTGAAGCTTTGTGAGCAAGAAAATACAGAAGCATCTCACACTGAGGTGTTTGATTTATTAAATTGATGTCATGTCAACACTGATTAGAAAATCTAAAGAATTGGGTAAAGATTTACTTTCAAGGACTTATTGTTTCACACCTAATTTAATTTAGTCAAGATTTTAAGGAGATGAGAGAGCATTTAAAAGTTTAAGTTTGAATTCCTTAATCACAAGACAAACATACATGTAATGTCAGCTGTTAAACTGGTGTTCACAGATGACTCAGTGCTGCCATCTTGTTTTCTGTAGACAGCAGTACAGGAGATTTCCTGTCCGTGATGGAGGTGTGATGCGTTGAAGTTCAGCACAGAGATCTTGACTTTAGTTTTGTCCTGATTCTCCTGCAGGGTCTCCTGACCTTCACCCAGGCCGGGGCTCCATGTCAGATTTGGAGGAAGAGACAGACAGGGAGCTGGAGCAGAGCAGTTCAAACTCACTGAGGTTCCCTCTTTCACCTTCAGTGTGGGCGGAGTCAGAGTCGGTCTGGGTGGATCATCTGTTCAGAAGATACATAAACATGTATAAGCAGTCATTTCTCTCGACTATCAAAGGTTTGATTTATCTTTATTTTAAAGTACGGTTATCAATGACAAGGTCAGAGAAGTACTACACGAATGAACTACATTTAATTTGAAACCTACCTGTGACTGAAATTTTCACGCCATCAAAAAAGTATTTCAGATCATTGTCACATTCCAATCTAAAATTATGCACTTTGTTGTTTTGAGGTTGCATGTCATTCAGGGTTGTGGTGCAGTCTTTTTTTGTTAGGTCACCGATCAATTGTCCTTTCTGTTGTGGATTACTGCTATCAAACACATCAGGTCCAAAAGTACTTTCTCTCCATAATGCTTTACAAGTGTTGTTTAAGTTTACATTAAATTGATCCTGTACATCAAAGGAGCAGGGGATTGTCACACAGGATCCCTTCAGAACCTCTATCGTCTGTGGTATAATGCTCTCAAACTGTCCACACAGGGCACCTGAAACACATGAAAGAACATTTAAATAAGAACATGTGTTAATCATTTGTGAATTTTTGGACTAGCTATGTGTAACGCTAAGTTTTTGAGGTATTATTTTAAATTACTTTTTGTTTTTTACAGTGGTGGGCTTAATGTGAGTGAATATCTCACCTGGGAGCAGACAGCCAACAAGAAGGAGAGTGAGAGCTACAGCCATCTTTGTGTTTCAGAATAGGCAGAAAGTCTGGAGAGTACACATGGGTACACATCAGTTTCATACTAAGTATATTTGAGTTATTTAATTCTTCTGAAGTTGCTTATTGCAGCATCATGTTGTAGATGATAAAATGATTAGAAAAAAACAGGAAGCTTTGTGGTCTGTGAAGGCAAAAGTGACACATAATGCTACTTTTCATTAATGTATTTTCAGTCTATAGTTAAAATGAACGCTATAATCTGTTTATAGGCAGCTCCTTTAATCACCAGCAATATACAAAAACACAACGACAGCTTTATTACGTCCAAGATCAAAGAGAAAATGCTTCTCCTTTTACAGTGTCTGTTTTTCCTTAACCTATGGTATTAGTTTATTGATCTAAATCCAAGTTGAGAAAAAGTACACATTTTTAGAATTATGTATCAAGTGCTGATTTTCATATTTTTCTTATCAAAATCATGTAAACTTACATTCTTGTCAGGTCCTCTGGAGCAGAGAGGTGAAGATGTTCAGAGGAGGGACGTTTCCTTCAAAGTGTGTGCTGCTTTTTCAAACAGCCTTCTTCAGTAAATTACACGAGGAAGTCACAGTAGTGAACATGCGTGTTACAATCATTTTACAGTCATTTCTATCATGGCTCATAACAGTGCCACAACTCTTCTCAATTACATGTATTCTTCTGTTCTCTTCTATTTTTCATCTTTGGAACTAAATTAACATGTTTGTAATACTCACCTATTAGTCTCCACCCGCCTGTTTTATGAGATTTAAAAAATAACACATTGTTCAGGTGCAGGTTACTGTATTTGTACACCTAGCGAGCTATGAGAGAAATGACAAAACAGATGTAAGAAGATAAAACACATTCGAGAAGGATCAATCTATTTATAACCTACGGAAACATTATTTTAAAAAATGAATAAATTATAACAATGATAAAAGTCGCTTTGGATAAAAGCGTCTGCTATGTGAATTGTAGAATTGTAGAAAAGTGCTCAAGGTTCCACCAATGAATGAAAAAAACAATAAAATTAATCACAAAATTAAGCCAGGATATTTGCAAATATGGCTACAGCTTTTTCAGTTCAGTGATAGCAGCAGAAAGATAGTTATTTTTGTTCGGCTTTGTTCTGCCCCTTGGGACTGAAAAACCTCCGTCCAGAGGGAAGATGCTGAAAATCACGGTGCAAAGGGTGGGAGTCAATGTTTAAGACATACTGTAGGTAGCTATCTGCTCTAACGGTCTGGATTACAGGGACGCTTGGTAGAGCCGTGACTCACCAACCAGCTGATTAGACCATTTAACAATGTTTTTACTTTTAAATAAAGTACAATACTTCCTCCCATTAGTAAAATAGATGATTACTATTTGAACTCCACAGACAGACAGTGGTGACTGTGGCTCAGTTGGTATAGTTAGTTGTCTCTCAACCGGAAGGTCGGGGGTTCGATACCCAGCACATGTATGATGTGTCCCGCTGCTTCGTCGGTGGAGTCTGAATGTGTATGAATGGGATGAGTTACTTCTGATGGTCACTTTTCATAGCAGCCTCTGCCTTAACTGTGTGAATGTGTTGGTGTGACCTGTGGAGTAAAATCTTTGAGGACTCTTCTCGATCACACATGTTCTCTTCTTTTTCATCTTTGGAACTAAATTAACATGTTTGTAATACTCACCTTTATTATGAATTTTTAAAACACATTAATTTCAATGTATACCACAAACTTCCCCCATAGCATGCAGCAATAGGAAGCCTCCTCAACCGCCAGAAGAGCGGAAAACTACAAATTCAGAGATAAACATGTATTTGTTACTACTCTGTTGCATCATCACCGCCTCTTTTAACTCCAACTGTTAGCGTTCAGTCTGCCGAGATCTACCAGTCCTCACAGGGAGCCGTAGCCATTACAAACAGCCTACAAACCCATTTAATATGCACATAACAAACAGTTATAATTCCAGATTAATTTTTTACTCTTATTTTAGGGTACATTTTAATATTAAGTTTGTATTTATATCAAATATTTTTTCCCCTCTAAATTAATGTAGTTTGCAACAAACAACTTTAATCTGCGTTAATCTGTGTGGAGATGTTCACAAACTACAGCAGACTGCTGTGAGATGACGTTGCTATTGTTAAATGAGCTGCAGATACGATGAGAGTGAATGGAGTAAAGTCGTACCTAACCTTTGACCAGATCTTGTGTGTTCTCGACTCGGTCCTTACAGATAAACTATGTGCTGTAGCACTAAAAGTAAAAAGGTTCAGGTGGTGGCTGGAGTTTAACTTAATCCTGCTTCATTGGGTAGACAATAGACCACACCATTAGGCCGTCTCAGGTCAGTGTCCGCCATCATAGTGACGACAAGTGATCACGTCACCATCTTACAGTTTGAACGTGATCACTTGTGATTACGCCGCCATCTTCTAGTTTTTAGTGACCACACGTGATCACGCCGCCATCTCAGTTTGAACCTGATCACACGTGATTATCTTCATCATCTTGTCCCTCTCTCTCTATCTCTTCCTCTCTCTCTCTCTCTCTCTCCCTTACATACACAACCACATACACACACACACGTACACACACGCACAGTCTCACACACACACACGCACACACACACACACACCCACACACACACACACACACACACACACACACACACACACGCACACACACGCACAGGCACACACACACACACACGCACACACACCCACACACCACACACAGACATACACACACACACACATACACACACACACACACATACGCACACACACGCACAGGCTCACACACACACACGCACACACACACCCACACACACACACACACACACACACACACACGCACACACGCACACACACACACACACACACACACACACACGCACCCACACACACACACACACACAAACACACACGCACCCACACACACACACAAAAAAAAGAATGTCCTGTTAGTGCTGTCATTTTATATGATGCAACCCGAATACTGGATGTTGTCCTGTTTGTTGGGATAATGTTGAATGTAAGTTGTAAGATATTGAGACACAGTCCCAAGGTGATACTGATAAACTCAACTAAATAATTCATGGCAGGATTAGGAGAAGGCCGTTATTTTGTTTCCTCGAGGAACAGGAACACCTCTAATAGCATTCATCAACAATGTCCTCCTGTCTGGGTTTTCTCAGATTAAATTGAGTAGAAGTAAAAACCTGAGCTTGTTGATTTGTAAACGTGACTGAACAAGGACTATCTTTCAATGATAAAATCAAGCTGGTTAAAACACGTTGATGGAAACTGAGACCACGAATTTCATCAGCAGTATTAGGACGCCTTTCTCAACCGCCAGAAGAGCGGAAACTATAAATTCAGAGATAAACATGTATCTGTTACCACTGTAATAATGTTTTAACGTTCTTGTGTGATTTAGGATATCAGCTCGTCAACATTTTTCTTCAATTTCAAAACATTGGACAGAGCTTTCTTCCCCCGCTCCCTCCCTCCTAGAGCCAATGTGCAAACAGGTTACTATGTCGTGGACACTGAAGCTTCAGTTTTTAACCAGCTCTGCATCGGTCTAGAGACTTTTCTGCTCTCTAACCTCTCTCCTTTTTTCAGAAGCAACCGCCTACCTTCTCTGCTCAAAATACAATGATTCTGCGCCACAATGGAAAATTAGAAGGAGGACATACCGACTGCTATGTTTTCAGATAAACCAGCACTTAAACAGATCATGTTTCCTTAATGTCTGATGATATAGAAAGACCATTTCAAGATTTAATTCAGAAGATATCTTACATTTTGGACCTTTAAACTGTCCTCCTTAACCTCGTCTTTGATTCAGGGCCATTTAAACCCTGTTCTCTGGAACTGGCCTCACAGGCTTTCTTTAATCTGATTGGAAAACAAGAGCATGGAATGAATGAATCAAAACTTTATTACAGACTCAGGGTCCAAATAATAAAATACAAAAGACATAAAATACAATACAAGATACATGAAATACAAAGCATAGTATAAAAATCTGCAATTTAAATGCAATGCATGGTATAAAATCACTAAATAGATAAAAACAGCGCCCCAGAGGATACAACTGTACCAATGTTTCCATATATTGGATTGATTCAATGTGCATCTCTTTTGATAAACCATTTACTTTTTCAATAAAAAATAAAATCTTGATTAGCAGAGCTTCAATACAAACAAAAGTGAAAACCATCACCTCAAACTTATCCATAATTCATGATCAATATCTCTCCAGATTTGAACATCAGAGGCTTCATGGAGAAAATATTATGTGAAATTACTGAGAATTAATCATGTATTGTGCCAAACACCCCGCAGAATATTGAAATATCACATTCATATCTCAAAGTCGATATTTAAAGCAATGCAGGAAGAGCAGAGAGGGAGACAGAGAGAGAGTCTTCAAATAATCAGGTATGACGTTTGGCAATGACATCATAGTCTGGAGATCTGTTAGTGTGATCCAGATTCATGTAAGTGCTGTCCTCTTCTTTTGGCTTCATGCTCTCTCTTTGTTTCCTTTAGTAAAAGAAGAAATGAGGATTAAAAATTGTTTTATACACAAGTCTGCTCCATTTGTCATATCTTCATCAGCACAGTTTATTCTAAAAAGTCCTCCGGTGTAATAACATACCAAAGAAACACCATGCAGAGTGTGAGGACGATGTTCACAGTGAGAGACACTCCAGTAACAGCCCAGAAGAGAACTCCACCGTAGGGTCCACAGTTATCCTCAAGACCTGTCAACAAGAAATAACATGATAATATCATAACCCTGTTTGGGGGGGGGGGCACTTTTTCAACTTGATGGTTTTTACCACTAAAGTCTACTTCATTGTCAGTTTGACAGTGAAGGAAGTACCAAAGCTGTATCATATTTCCAAATCAAGACCGCAAAGCGAGCGAGAGAGACGAGTGTAGGCTGAGCAACCAAAAGACTAAAAGAAGAGGAGTGGTTTCAGCAGGAACAACACTGAGCCAGAAGAAATTCAATATTCATTTCTGATTGTTTCATGGTGGTTATGTTCAAAAGCACAATTTAAACACATTAAACCCACTGGCACATGAAGGAGTTGATTATGAAAGGGAAACTGAATGATTGATTGGCCCAAATTGGCACACATGGACATTTGGATGAAAAAGACAAATTAGTAATGTTTTATATACTAATACAGAAAGTGCCAAAGATGGAAATCAATCTTGAAAACTGAAACATTAACAACATTTTATAATCAGTAAATCACTGCTCTGGAGGAATTATAGACCTTTAAAGGTTTAAAAACACACAGTTTAACTTGTATACATATGCTGAACATCTATGTGTTTGTTGTTGGATCGTCCACTCCCCAGTTCATTTTCAGCCTTGCAGAAAAAAGGACCGCTGACATCTGAAGCTTTAACAGTTAAAACACGTCCAGTCCCGATAAAAGTTAATGGTTATGGGTTGATGACATAGCCCTACCCTCGCGTGCAAACTGCGGTTTTTAATGTCAGGCATTTATCTGAATCCTGTAACACAATTGTAGTTTTGTGTTTGTGTGGCATTTTTCTTGTTAATACTTAGTAATTATGAGAACAAATTGTGAAATGTGCCGCTTACCAATAAAAGTTATACTCAGTTCAGAGACAAACCTTGACTTTCTGCAGATGTTGGAAGGCTGTGGAAAATAAATCGCTGAGCAACAGATCCCAGAGAGTTTGAGCTGCGACAAAGCACAGTGAAGTGATCCTTCCTTTGGGC